ACAACGTTTCGGCCGTTGTACGCTCCGGCCTTCTTCAGGTGGTTGGAATTTCGAACTGAACCCTTTATTTCGATCACTGGGGTAGACTGTTGTAGTTCCACGTGCCATGTTTGATGGTAAAGACATGCAATGATAACAGCAAAAATTGCAATATGAGCACTGGTAAAAATGATGCTGAAAACATTAGGTTTATAATACTCAGAAGTTCATACCCAGATGTCCTCAAGGACACATGGCACAGTGGATAAAGGCGTTGGTTAGATCCAGTGACAGACCCAAAAGGAGGTGAGTTCAATACATGGTTAAGGCAGTGGAGAACTTTCAGAGGGAAAATTAGCAGGAGATAACTTTGATAACTGATATCCATCAAACGTGGAACTAGAACAGTCTACCCGAGTGATCGAAATAAAGGGTTCAGTTTGAAATTCCAACCACCGGAGCGTACAACGGCCAAAGCGTGACAAATATGGCAACAAAGATGAGGACAATAGTCCGACTAATGTAAATACTTTACACTATATTAATTTTATCTTATAAATTGTCCCCTGTCATCAATGAAATAAAAATAATTCTATAGAAAATAAGGATCTACATACATCAAATTGTCTTTAAATTAAGTGGCAGCAGAAAAATTATCATTGAACTTTTAAAAGCTAAGCTTATACATTAATTCAATATTTAAATGCAGTGATCAATTTTAAGTTCTGTAGTTTATCAATTCCTATCGCATCTACTCCTCCCTAGCTATTGTGATGATGGTCAGACCAAGAGTACTCCACAGTAACTTAAATGCTACCTGATAGGGTGGCTTTTAAGCTAGCTGCAATTTTGGATACAAAAGGAAAATAAGTGTTGAACCATGAAAGCAATGATAATGGCTAGTATAATATATTAATATATATATTTAACCACACACAATTTGGCAACCCTGAATCTGAGCTCAATGAAAATTGTACCCTGCACCTAACTTTTCTAGGGCTTTTGAATGAACTATAAATCATTAAAATCAGACCAGTAGGAACAGAGTTGCTTGGACATACACACACACACACAAACACTGTATTTTATATATAAGATTCTAATTAGAAAAATTCTAAAAAATGAAAACAAATCTTGTAAAAATTCATTTTTCATTGAAAATAATAATTGCCTTAATATATATTATTCATAAAAGCAATTAAAAGCTTTTCTAATAATGTCTTAGTTTTATTGCATTTTTTATTTTATGATTCAGAGCAGATTTTTAGTAAGACAGTCCAATTTTACAAAAGAAATATTGATGATTTAAATTCTCCAAAAAGAAAAAAAAAAAAATTTATCATATTGAAATTTTCAAGTTTTCATAAAAATTGAGTGATGGGGGAGTAGATGGAAATAAATATAAAAAAAAAAAAAAATATTTTACCAAGAATTTCTGAAAAACATTCCTAAAATAATTTGATTCATTGAATAAGTTTTGAAAGTTTCATTAAAATATGACATTTGACTTTTGCAAGAATTTCCAAATTAATGTGTCTTTTACCACAAAATAGACACTAAAATTTTCTATGTTAATTTATAGCCCATACGCCAAGGCAAGAAAAACAAGATTTTTCATGAAAATATATCGAATGTTCTAGAAAGGATTAAAAAATTTAATTAAATATTTGAAAAATACCTCTTCCCTCTTAATAACATAAATTTTGATGATAAAATTTAGTTTTCCTCAAGTTTGGGGTATTTTTTTTTATCATAGTATGCTTTTCTTTTAGTGAATTAGTGGAGGTACCTAGCTTACAGGGTTGTTTCAAGAACAGCTTGCAGGAATGTTCTAAGGAGATATGCCAACTTGCTCTTGGAATGGTAGAGACAAAAATTGCTGCAATTCTATAGGCTTTCATTCTTTACTTTTTCTATTGAACTTCATACTCTTTTACAAAGTGTTTTAATATTGAGTATTCATTTTGACAGAGAAAAAGTGATTTAACAACATTGCTATCATATTCAACTTTAATTTATACTTAATTTGGTAATGCTGAAGCTGAAGAACTCCGTCGGTTAGGACAATGTTTCTGGGAACACTTTTAAACAATCTCGAACCTCTAAGTTCCTCTGATATACAGAGTGCGATGGATAAATTGTCGCCATTTTTTATTTTTCATTTTGCATGTACGCATCATTTGATTTTGATTTATCAACTGCACAGTATAGGAGGGTCAGTTGGGTACCGTCTGTAAGAAAAAGAGCACCATGACACAATTCATTCCACCAGAAATTTGAAAACAGCATCGGTACTGCTTGGCATTTGCACCAGAAGCTCCAATACGAACATTTCAGAGTGTTTGGGTGTCAATCTGAGTACAGTGCAGAGGAATCGGAAAGAGTTGGAAGAGTCTAATGGTGATTATGATGGGACAGCAGGTCAGAAAACCAATATCAAGTGCCTTGTGGAGGTAGTGCTGCCCTAGGTCATGGGGGTGGGTGCTGGAAGACCCTATGTCTGGCTACAGGACTCTGCACCATGCCACACAAGCCAGTCATGGCTGTCAGACACCCTTTCACCTCTTATGTCTGGCCACCTAACTCCCCAGACTGCAACCCCCTTGATTATTATGTGCAGTTGAGTGAGAGACCAACAAAACTCCTTGTAATACCAAAGTTGAACTGAAGGCAAGGATTATGGCAGCATTCACCAACTTAAACAATGAGACTGTTCAGAAGAGTTGCAGGAGATTCTGAAGTCGTCTTGAGGCCATGATTGAAGCCAATGGTGATTTTATTGAATAAATTTGCTCTTTGGTATTTCAAGTCATTTTTTGTGTAATTTTAGTAAATATATCTGTTAAAATAAGATGTCAGTGTTATTTTCATTTTTGTGTAATTTAAATCCATCAGCTACAAAAAAGGCATGATGGGAAGAATCTAAAAATCAAGTTGTTTTCTCTCGTCTCAGCTAGAAGATTTTAGGAGTTGTTACTGTTTGCAGAACCTGTTTAATGAATTCTAACCATTCCATTTTGGTGCCAGGAAAGAGTTTACAAAACTGAGCAAAAAGCTGTAAATAAAAATATATAATTCTAATATCACAAAATGAACAGGAAAAAAGGAATTTTCACTTAAAGTATTTCTTAACAATGAGAGAATTCTGAAACAATTTTTGGCAAACATGGACCTTCATGCCCAGCAATAAGATGGAGTGTCAAAAGTACCGTTCTTTCCCTTGACACCACTATTATTTTAATTATCTTTGTGCCTCAACAATTTTTATTATTTTAAAAAGTGATGATTAGAATTTTAATAAAACTTAAACATATGAAAGTGAATTTATACATTTTCTTCATTCTTTACAATTGACAAAAAAAAAAAAAAAAAAAAATAATAAATTTATTTATTAGATTGTTCAGTGAAATGGTTGGCAACACATCAGCTAATTGTCAATCGATTTGAAATTTATAAAAGCATTACAGTTGGTTCACATTTTATTAATTTAGTAAATATTTATTGATATAATGTAATATGCGTACACCTGTGTTCCCCCTCAGTGGAATATGATTGGTTGGTGTCCGTCATAAATACCGACGGATGTGTAGGTTCCGACAGAGTCAGAACCTTAGTCTGAGAGCTAAGTCTATAATGATGCCCATTGAACTACGCCATTGATCTACCCTTCTTACCTGTGACGCGTACCAGTCGATTACTGCTACCGTATTCTAATTGGTTATAGTAGGCAAAACCACTTAGCTACTTCGTTCAAATATATCCCTTTCCAGGACATATTTATAAAGCTGTAAATAAAATTGTTTTCAAATTTATTTCTTTATAAATTGGCAAATAAATATTGCACTGTATTAGTCTTAATATAATTCTACTAGTTTTTAGAATGTTGTAAATATAAAATTATTCTTGTAAATAAACACTAATAAATAAGTAAGTCTTGTTGTCAAGCTTGTGTTTAATATTTTCGTTGTAAATTCTTAAGAGCTAAAAAATGTATAAATTCACTTTCATTATATGCTTAGGCTATATTACAATTTTAATCAACACTTTCTAAATCAATAAACATTACCAAAGACTGAAGGTAGTTAAAATAATAGCAGTATTAAGGGAAAAAAAAAACTGTCCTTTGGACACTGCATTTTTTTTTTTTTGTGGGCACAAATGTCCAAGATTGCCCAAATAACATACAGATCATTGATGGAGAATGAAAAAATGAAAAGAAAGCAGGATTAGCATAAAAGACCAATAAACCAATTTAGGATGATCTAGATTTCTTTAAGCAAAAAAATTGGGCAGATTTCTTGCTTATAAAAATATGGAATTGTGTTACACAATTTGCTGAGAATGGAAACACATATGACATAAGGTCCTTGGTATGAGCTGAGGCAATAATGTATATTTCTCTTTCTTCATAAATTGGACACCTGACGAAATACTGTAGTGAAGACAAAAGAATAAAAATGAAGATTCATAAACTTTAATATTTACGTTCACATATTTTACAAAAATTCACCATCATGTTGTCTTAAGTGAGTAACAAGATGTCACTTCAAAATTGACTTCAACAAATTTTGATTGATTTTACTTATGGCATATCAACATCTAAGGGTTATTTAATGTTGAAATCTAAATATATTTTGAACGCAATTATTGTTGGTCATTTTGTTATTGCTGCTATTTTTCTATAAAATGTATTTTTATACTTTCATAGTGCGTTTTTTTTTTTTTTTTTTTTTGATTGGGGATACACTATTTACCTATAGCTGAGATCCTAACAAGGAGGGACTTGCCTAGGATAGACATGGAAATAACAGTAATTAAGAGGTGGTTTCACATGCCTCAAAACTTTCAATCTCCTGATTAGAGGCCTTGCTGATGGATTTAGTTTATCATCATACCCAGGACTAACAAATAGGAAGTTATACATTACAGAAGATTATAGCTTATCTTCAGGGTATATTTTGCATATGATTTATATAAGATGCCAGACTATAAAAAGATGTCTTCCAGAAAGAGTCAGATTTACAGTCATATCATGTTGAAACACCAGTTCTCATCTGATCACTGAAGTAAGCAACATCGCGACTGGTCAGTACTTAGAGGAGTGACTGCTTGTGAGTACCAGGTACTGTAAGCTTGGATGTGTGGATAATGTAATGAATAGGGGCTAGGAATAAGAAACCTGAAAACTAAGTTTGTTACATTCACTTATGTGCAAATATCCTTGGGAAGTTATGAATCCACCTTTTCTCCCTCAAGCTATAGGTTAAATAGTAGAACTTGTATCTGGAATAATCATTTTCTTTCAAAAAAAACTGTTATGCAATATTCATTCAAAAAAAAGAAAAGAATTATTCTTGTAACCCAAAAAATGTTTCAACATTAAATAACCCACGATAGGTTGATAAACTGTCGAAAAAAAAATCAACCAATTCCAAGAAGAGTCAAATAATACACTAATTTAGGGTTTCTCTCCAGTGTGTATTCGCATATGTCGGTTCAACTTCGACTTTTCTGAAAAAGATGAACTACACAGTTCACAAGAATATGGCCTTTCTCCAGTGTGCGTTCGCATGTGCCTGGTTAACTTTGACTTTTCCGTAAAAGAAAAGCCACACACATCACAGGTATATGGTTTCTCACCGGTGTGTTTTCGCATGTGTATATTCAAGCTTGACTTCACTGAAAAGGAGGAACTACACACTTTACAAGAATATGGTTTCTCTCCAGTGTGTGTTCGCATATGTATTCCCAAATATGACATTTGTGAAAATGCTGAGCCACACACTTCACAAGAATATGGTTTCTCTCCAGTATGTGTTCGCATATGTCGATTCAACTTTGATTTTTCTGAAAAAGAAAAGCCACACACTTCACAAGAATATGGTTTCTCTCCACTATGTGTTTGCATATGTGTGTTTAAGCTTGACTTCACTGAAAAAGAAGAGCTACACACTTTACAGGAATATGGTTTCTCTTCAGTGTGTGATTGCATATGCTCCACCAAATGTGACATCTGTGAAAATGAAGAGCTACACACATCACAAGAATGCAATTTTTCATGTGCATGTATTCGCATATGTGCCACCAAAGTGGCTTTTTGTGTAAATGAAGAGACACACATTTTACAAGAATATGGTTTCTCTACAGTATGTATCCGCATATGTCGATACAACTTAGACTTCTCTGAAAAGCATGAGCTACACACTTTACAAGTGTATGGTTTTTCTCCAGTGTGTGTTCGCATATGTCGCTTCAGCTTTGACTTCTCAGAAAAGCAAGAACTACACACTTCACAAGAATGTGGTTTTTCTCCAGTGTGTGTTCGCATATGTTGATTCAAGCTTGACTTCACTGAAAAGGAAGAACTGCACACTTCACAAGAATATGGCTTCTCTCCAGTATGTGTTCGCATATGTGTCACCAAGTATGACATTTGTGAAAATGATGAGTGACACACTTCACAAGAATATGGTTTCTCTCCAGTGTGTATTTGTATATGTCGGTTCAAGCTTGACTTACATGAGAATGATGAACCACACACTTCACAAGAATATGGCTTTTCTTTAGTGTGTGTTCGCATGTGTTGGTTCAGCTTTGACTTCTGTGAAAAGGAAGAATCACACAATTCACAAGAATATGGTTTATGACCAGTGTGTGTTCGCATATGTACCACCAAATGTGACTTCCGTGAAAAGGAAGAACTGCACACTTCACAAGTAAATGGTTTCTCTCCAATATGTTCTTGTTTATACTGCTTTGCAGTCGATTTCTTTGAAAAGACAACGCCACAAACATCACAAGTATAAGGTTCAATTCCAGTACGAGTTTCTAAGTGTCTTTTTAAAATTGAACTAATAGGCAATTTACATTTACAGGTTTTTTCCGAGTAGTTTTCCATATTTAAAGTCACCTGAAGTTAAACAGTGTCGCGCCTGGTCAGTACCTAGATAGGAATGTGCAAGTGATGCAATGGATAAATGCTTGAAATTGTTAATCAATGAGCTGAGTTCCAATAAGGCTTGTTATATTCACTTACACACAAATACCCTTGGATATGAATTCACTTCTCCCACCATATATGGGTTAATTAGTTAGATGTGTATGTACTTTCTGGCTTTTAGAAAACGCATCAATCAATCAGGCCACCAAAGAAATAATGACTCAAATTCACCAAATTATTTAACTTCATAAGATATCCTTGAGGTGGAACATCTGTAAAATAAAAGAAATTATATTTATAATATAATAAATTGAATTGATGTTAATGAGATTAACTCAACAAATATGATTTTTGCATATGGTTTTTTAATGTGCAAATTCTTGACATAAAAGAAATTTTAATCTCATTAAATTTCCTGAGAAACTTATTCATCTGAGGTAAATAGCTGGATCTAAATTGTCAATAACAGGTATTTTTTTCATTGCCTTTACATTAACTGCAAAAGATATTTCAAAAATGCTAACAGTTTCTAAATGTATTTCAATAACTTTTATATTTACTTAAATATCATTAGGTTGTTTGGAAAATAAGGTCTGATTTTAGAATAAGCCTTTTGTGTTCTAATATATTGTTATAATAGTTGCACAAAAATATATTACTCATTGCTAATGATTAAAGAGTCCTCTTTGTTACTTTTATATTGATCTTTTTCAGAATTTAACATAAAACATTATATCAGCCTCATGAATAAGAAAAAAAATGCACTTACTTTTTTTGCAGGCGTTCACGCTTGGTCATAATGATTCTCAAACAGAGCATGAGGTGAAAGATCCGCTTGTGATTGGACAGTACAGCACTAACTTCTGAAGTTCCAGAGTCGGGATATGAGTCTTGAGGATCAAGGTACAAGAGGACATCCATCTGCAACTGACAATAAAATCTAGTTGAACAAAAACAATATCAGACCATCTCAAGTTGTAAGGTGAAGAAACTTGATAAATAGGTTTCACACAAATTTTGTGAAAATCATATAAAATATATAATGGACAATACTGTCTTATAAAATTTTTTTTGATAATGAATTTTTACAAGAATTGTTTTCATTTTTTTAATTAGAATAATTTATAAAATTTTAAATCTTTTAAAATTCTGTATTTGTAGTAGTCAAGTGATATTGTTATTAAACTATTTACTATATATATATATATATATATATATATATATATATATATATATATATATATATATGTGTATATATATATGTATATATCATAAATGGAAAAATTCACTACAATTCAAAGACCTATTTTTTAAAAAGAATTTAAATTTTTTTAGATGTGTATAAGTATGTCAATCCTTATTTCATTAATCTTTAATTAATTCATTAATTAATATCCATTACTCCACCATGCCTCCCCAATTATGTAGGATTAATAAATAAAAATCTATTACTTCATTAATCCATACAAATTTTAATATTCAATGTAACTGAGACTTTGGAGATTTTCTTAAGGAAAAAGGGAAAAATTCCCATTGTTTACAATTGAACCTAAAATGGAAGCTGATAAGTGAATGTAAATAATTCATTAAAACTTTGCATAACTCATGGTCAAGTTATTATAGCTTATTGCATTTTAAAACTGGATCTTTTATTAATTTTCTCAAGAAAAAATTTTAAGTTATGTATTTTTTGTTTTTTAACCCATATTCCCCTAGGACTATAGGGACACCTCATGCACTACTGAAGCAGTAGCAAGATAGCCTGACGGAACACAATCTTCCATTCACAACATTATCTGAAAATAAGAGAGGTACATATACTAAATTTAAAATTTATTGATAATTTTCTAACATTTCCTCAACAATAAAGCCAAAGTATCTACAATTCAATAAACTATTAGACTACTGTTGTGGCCTTGTTAGGGCCAGACACAGAGAGATGAATTGAGTTAAACAAATACATTAACAGAAAGAGTAATACAAACAAGAGTGTTTGGTCCGACTGTCAGAGCTGACTATTACAACTTCCCTCTCCAAAAGGCAGTACCTGCTGCTATTTATAGCTGGGAGAGTCTATGCGTGCATGAGTAAATTGTCATAACAAATACTTAATCTATTAAAAATTTTTAAGATTACTGGGTAGTTAAAAATATATAATAAAATACACCATCTTTATGCTGAAAGAGATCAATAGAAAAGTAACAAAGAGGGCATTTTAATCATTAGCAATGAGTAATATATTTTTGTGAATACTTTTCTGGAATATTTTAAAAATAAAGAAATATTTGTTTCAATTTAGATTAATTAAACTTTAAATCAGCTATTTTTTCTAAAATAATGTTTTAGAGAAGTATATTTTATTTTTGAAGGAATTTTTAATAATGAGAATTATCACAAATCTGTCAATATGGATAAATTTATCAATTTTACTAAGTATACAAAAAAAACATGTCAATTTAAATTTGGTTTCAAATACACTAATTATTTTGCTTTCTTTATTCAGATTATTAAATTTAATCTATTGGCTTGGAATTAAAACTGAAATAAAAGCTTTAAGAAAGATTTAAAATTTTTAAAAATGCATTTTAAACTTTAGGTATCACTTTGTTGGAGGTTCCTACATAATTTGGGAGACATGGTGGAGTAATGGATAGCGGCTAAGATTGAGGAATTGGAGAGCCAAGTTTGAATTCCAGTTGAGTTCATTACTTACGTGCTAATACCTTTGGGAAAGGTAATAATCCATCTTTTCTCCACACAGCTATGGGTAAACAGCAAGACAGACTGGATCCTATATCCTTGGGTGACAACTGGTCTAGGAGAAGGAAAAAATCTGAATCCTAAACCAGCTTGGAGAAGATTGAGTTCCGTCAGACTATCTTGCTACTGCTGCAGTAGTGCATGAGGTGTCCCTATAGTCCTAGAGGGATATGGGTTAAAAAACAAAAAATACATAACTTAAAATTTTTTCTTGAGAAAATTAATAAAAGATCCAGTTTTAAAATGCAATAAGCTACAATAACTTGACCATGAGTTATGCAAAGTTTTAATGAATTATTTACATTCACTTATCAGCTTCCATTTTAGGTTCAATTGTAAACAATGGGAATTTTTCCCTTTTTCCTTAAGAAGATCTCCAACATCTCAGTTACGTTGAATATTAAAATTTGTATGGATTAATGAAGTAATAGA